ACCCCCCAAATTCTGAAAACGAGCCACATGTCCAAAGTTCATGGTTTATTTATTGCATTTGCCACGAAATCAAAGCAATGTAAAAACCACCACCAAGTCCAAAGTGCTGCGCCTGCCACGAATTCTGCGCATCGAAGTAAAACGGTTCCGACCTCCTGCACCTGCCACGAAAAGTCGGCTTCAGACCACCAATTTCATGTAATGCAATATATGTATGTAAGGTAGGTGGGTAGGTCTGTCTGTCTGGATGGATGGATGGTAGGTAGGTAGGGATGGGTGGATGAATGGATGTGAGTATGTATGTATGTATGTAAGTAACTATGTAACTATGTACGTATGTAATGTGATGTGATGTGATGTAATGTGATGTAAAGTGATGTAATGTAATGTGATGTAATGTGATGTAATGTGATGTAATGTGATGTAATGTGATGTGATGTAATGTGATGTAATGTGATGTAATGTGATGTAATGTGGTGTAATGTGATGTAATGAATGTATGTATGTATGTATGTATGTATGCATGTTCGGATTCATTTTCATATTTTTCCTTGTTCTTGGTGGATTGAAAGTCAGTGGGTTCAGAGTGGTGCATCCTTACATGGTGTGTGGCTGCTTGTAACGCAGGAGCCGCTGATGCTTCTCAGGCATGACTCCTGCATGGCCCCGACCCCAGCAGCAAACATGCTTTGGCCTTCTTCAGTCTCACACAGCGAGAGAGAGAGAGAGAGAGATATATATATATATATATAGGTGTATTGTTGGATTCTGCAGCTCCAGGTTCCTCACAGGTCAGGCACGCGCCACTTTTGTTTTGTTGCCCCTGCCATGGCGTCGCTCGCTTTGGCACTTATCTCCACCTTGGGCTTTCCTGCTCTGGCAGCAAAGCCCCATGTGCTTTTCATTCTAGCTGATGACTATGGCTGGGGCAACATGGGTGTACATCGGCGCGATGCAGGAGCCTCACCTGAAGAACAGCAGGGTCGGGCAGAAGTCCACACCCCAAATATCGACGCACTTATTGACAATGGTGTTCTTTTGGATCGGCACTACACCTACAAGATTTGTTCCCCGACCCGGTCTTCAATTCAGTCCGGGCGCTTGGCGGTGCATGTGAATCCGATTAATTCAGCTGTGACCTCCCAGAACTACGAGGACCCTGTGAGTGGCTATGCTGGCATCCCCAGGAACATGACGGGCATTGCCGAGAAGTTGCGCGATGCCGGATACAAGACGCACCTGGTGGGCAAGTGGGATGCCGGTATGGCAACCCCTGAGCACTCGCCGAAAGGACGTGGCTATGACACTTGGTACGGCTACTACCAGCATGCCAATGACTACTGGCGTAAGAGCACCGTCTTCTTCGCAACTGGCGAGGTGGACGCTTGTTTGAACCGCATGAAAGACTTGTCCATGCACAATGCCACTTATTCCGGCCCGGTCAGGGATGCCGTCTCATTGTCTGCTGGTTGTCAAGAAGATGAAGAGTCAGACCCTGGATGCTATGAAGAGCATCTCTTTAAAGAAAGGGTTCTGCAGATCATTCAGGAGCATGATGTGAAGAGTCCCTTGTTCCTTTTCTATTCCTTCCACTTGATTCACACACCTTTGCAGGTGCCAAAGGCTTGGCTTCACAAAATTGATGCCCTCGTCAAGGCAGCAGGTGGCAAGCCATTCGATGATGATAACCGACGCCTCTATGCTGCCATGACTCTCTACATGGATTCGGCCATTGGAGAAGCAGTGGATGCTCTGAAGAAGAAGGGCATGTATGATGATACCTTGATCATTTTCACCTCTGACAATGGTGGCCCAATCTATGAGCCGGGGGCAGCTTCCAACCACCCCTTGCGAGGCAGCAAGTACAATGATTGGGAAGGTGGTGTTCGCACCAATGCCTGGATCTCCGGCGGATTTGTGCCTGAAGCCAGGCGTGGAAAGAAGTTCGAGGGCATTATTAATGTGGCCGACTGGTATGGGACGCTGACAGAGCTGGCTGGAGTTGAGATGAAAGACCATAAGTCTGAGGCCGCGAACGGTTGGCTGAAGGAGAAGGGCCTGCCACTACTTCATCCAGTGGACAGTGTTCCCCAGTGGGAGAACATCATCAACGACAAGAACGGCCGTGCCGATCCCATGCACCTGAGCTCGAAAGCTGTGCTGATGTGGCCTTACAAGTTGGTCACAGGCAAGCAGCCCCTGAGCGCCTGGGTGGGGCCCAATTATCCCAACTGCTCCACTGTGAAGTCGATTGATGAGCACAATGGGCCTTTGCCCGCTCCAGATGATGTGAAGATTTTTGGTGAACCCATGCCCTTGGCCAATACTTCAGCAGAGGTTGACCGGCAGACTTGGACCATCGACTGTGGCGAGGGTTGCCTAGTGAATGTGCGTGATGACCCCACAGAGCACACCAACCTGGCCAGCGACCCCAAGTATACCTCTATTCTCCTCAAGATGCAGGAGACGTTGAAGGAGCTGAACAAAGACCTCTTCAACCCTGATCGTGGTATTGACCGTGTGGAGGCCTGTGATGTGGCCATCGAACAGGACCGAACCTTTGGCCCCTTTGTGGCGGCAGACCATTTCTACAGCCCTGGACCTGAGAAGAGCTACTCCCTCCAGGTTGAAGATGCCATTTTGCGTGCAACTTTGCATACCCTCAACAATGAGAAGGTGAAGAAGCCATTGGTAGAGACACTGAAGAAGGTTGGCACCAAAGCTTTTCAGAAGTTGAAGTCAGACAAGTGCCTTGTGCCTTTGCATGAGGGGTCTGAGTCTGAGGAGCCAGATCTGTTCACCGTGTGAGGGGACGTGTTGATTTACGATTCACTTTCAAGTCAGAGTACAGTATCCCAGTATCTGGGACCTGTCAAAATTGGCTTTGCGCAGACCCTCGGACACAAGCCTTAGATAGCCTCAGACTGAAGATGGTTCGGACGGTGTTGATGTTTTTGGAACGTTTTGTTGGCGTGAAAGCCATTCGAGGCCTCCGATTTTGAATCGCTGCCGACCTTGCCGCGTGCAACTCAGACTTCTTGGGCATCGTGGCATGTTGTGGCAAAGAGTTGTGTTACCAGTGTGTCGTACTCTTAGTGCACTTTGATCGCACATTCTGGTGCACCGGCCTGCCATGGTTCAATCAAAACTTAAACTGGTTTGATGGCTTTCTTTTCCAGGGGGGTTCCAGCAGGGATCCTTTCTTCATCTCCCCTTGGACCGGACGCGAGGATCCAGAGGCAGGCCTCGGAGGACGAGCCGCTGCCCCGGAATCCGCCGAAGCCACCGCCGAAAGGACCGAAGGCTGCGCTTCGCCGGCACATGCGGTGGAAAACGGTTTGCGGCCGCCGAGGTTCTTCGACGTCCAAAGTGACCTCGAGGAGCGCTGCGGGTTTTTCGACGTTGAGGGGGGGCCTGAAAGTGGTATATATATATAAATGGATTGGGCGAGCTCCTGTCACATCCAAGTTCTGCAAGTCTACCACCGTCCAAGTCTGTCAGGACGAGCAAGCTGCACCGGCACCTGCCCGAAAGGTGCCTGGCCGGCCTTTGGACCAGTAGATATTCAACAATATTCCAAAGGGTGGCACTGCTCAAGACGCTTCAGAAGTCAGATGGACCAGCGTGGCAAAATGTGGTATATAGTATATAAAGACAACTTATATAACTAATCGCTTGGTTAGTTTGTCACGGGCATTTTTCTGCCATCATGACTTGCGGCAAGCTGTGAGGCGGCAGCTGTGAGCCTGGTGGTGGACTGTTCACGTTTTGGTGGCAGTGGGGTCGCCACCTGGGAGACCAAACCTCCACTTGGAGCGAGCGCGGGGTCGCCAGCTCCGAGGCGAGCGGGGAAAAGAGCGCCGTGCCTTGGCACCTGCGGGTTCGATGGAAACAGGACGAGCGTGCTGCCACACTAGAAGCTACCAATAGTAAGGCACTTAGCTACTAGTAGAGTCCTTGCTACTAGTAGCGATGCACCTTGCTACTAGTAGAGTCCTTGCTGCTAGTAGTAATGCACTTGCTACTTTCACAAACTGGTGATCTACAGTAAGCAGTGTTGCTGGTTTTCCACCGCGAGGAGCCATTTCGTTTTATGCTCGCCCCTGCTAGTGCTCCGCTGCGATGAACGGATGGACGGTATGAACCGTATGGGGTCTTTGGGCGAATCCGACCTGAGTGGAGGTACGTACAATGCTCTGAGCACTGTCCTGTCAGTCGCCAGCGCCTCAAGGGCCTTCAGATTGGCCTCATGGCGGCCTTCTTTCGACTTGTCACTGCGTTTCACTCTCGTCACTGCAGGCCCGCGCTGTGACACTGACTCGTCCGATCCTCAGCCTGGTCGAAAGGAGAGCATCCCATTTATGAAGAACTCGCTTTGGACGTGGATTGCCATTGCGTCACCACTTGCTCTAGTGTACTCTATTTGCTATTGACATTGATGTTCCTTGGAAGAGCTACCGCGATGCCACAGCTGGTTTCATCAGTTTGTCCTCCCAATATCAGTATCAGTGTTTCTTGAAATGACCAGCAGGTGCAGATCCAGCTGTGGTGCCAGACCTCCAAACAGCAGGCGATGCAATTTCACAGTCTCAAGCTTGAAGTTGGGGTCAATCCAAAAAAGACGAATCAATACCCGTGGACTCTCAGTGTTTCACGAATACTTTCTTTGGAGCCCAGTGACCCGTCTCTCAAAGCTGCAAACTGCGCCCAGATTCCAAATCAACAGCTGCCACTCCACAGGCCTTGCACGACCGGTCAACACCACCCATTCTTGTCAAACGCTTGGTGTTGTGCAGGCTGAGGGCCCAGAGGCTCGGCGAGGGATGCGATGAGTACTGCAGAAGATGGTGCTTCAAACGTCAAACACGGGTGCTTTTTCTTGATCTCTTTTCAGCTTCCCACGTGGAGTGCTTGATTTTAAACATGGTCAAGCTTTGTGTATGCTGGCAGATCACCAGGCCATTTCTTTATAGCTTGTTAGCCTGACCAAGTTGTCCATAATTTTGCAAGCATTTGGCTTCAGGCTGAAGGGGTGCTAGTTGCCAGAGCACCACCCGAACCCTCGGCCGTTCGAAAAGGCCATGATTCGATTCAGTGATGTCGTCTGTGGTGGGGAGAAAGGTCAATTCCGTGCCAATTCCGAGAGCGTTGGCTGGCAAGGGGCTTCCGGAGCCACGAAGGTGCAACCTGCCGCCCACATTCGACGGGCCGAGTGGTTCGAGGGCAGCCTCCGACTCCTTTGTGAAGACAATGGGGCAACGGAGGTGCTCGCCCTTGAAGGTTTCAGAGATGCGGACTTTGACCCACTCTGGAAGTATTTGGAGCAGACCTGTGGCGTTTACCTCAAGAAGCACAAGCCAAAAGCTGCTTTAGAAGAGGCGGACTTTGACTCTGCGATGCAAGGCATCGAAGATGCTGCAGACCGAGTGGATGAAACCGTATCTGGTTCCGTCCAGAAAAAGGCGAAAGAAGCCGACCTAATGAAGAAAGTCGAATGTGTTCGTGATGGTCTAGATCAAGCAGTGAGTGGGGACAAGCAAGCCTTAAGCCGGGTTTTCGCAGCAGGGGGCTGTGAACGCATTGGCCGATTGCGGCTTGTAGTGGACACAGTTCAGCTTGAGGTTTACCACACAGACCCTCGCTGGCAGCATTTGCTGAGCAAGTGTGCTACAATTGAGGCAGTCTTGAAGGAGCTCGGCACCTTCCGTCAATGGAAGCCCGCGGAGGGTCACTCCGAGAGTTTGCTTCGACGTGCCATGGTCAGGGAGCTACGACACCGTCAGGGTGAAGATGATGAAGTTCCGCCGGTGGCGGAAACGATTCCTTCCAGTGGCCACGCCGACCGTGGCTATGTTGCAGAGGCGCGTGTTGACGTGCCACTTCCGAGTCCCGTGCCCATGCCCGCAGCCGAAGAACCACTCCCTGAAGGTGAGGTGGAGCGGGTGGACTCGGAGGAAGATGTGGCAAATGTCTTCCATGAAGAGGCTGAGCCAAAGCAAGTTCCATTCAAAGATGAAGAGGTCAGCGACCCCAACAGTGTTCGCGCTGATGCTTTAGATCAGAGTGGAGGGAGACCCTTGAGGTACACCCATCCCAATAGTATTTTGGAGGGCTGGGTATGGAAGAGAAGCCGCATTTTGAAGCGTTGGCGACGGAGATGGGTGGTGCTGTGCCCTGGAGAGCTTATGTCCTTCAAGAATCGTGGCCTTCGAGAGCCTACAGAGGTTGTACCTGCTGGGACAGTCTTGCGGGTCTACAGTGCCGATGGTGAGGTGCAGCAAGCGCGATGCTTCTGTGTGGTTGTGCGAGAAAGGAACTACTACATGGTATGTGATGATGAAAGCCAAAAGAGGGCTTGGATACAGGAGATTGAGAAGACACTGTACAAAAGGTAGCTTCAGCAACTCAGTCTCACCCAACATGATCCAATGGAGGCTTTTGGGCTTGCCAACGCTCTGAAAATGTAGATCATCCCCAAGAGACAGTGGATGGACACCTGCCTCTCCCCACGAAACAAGGAATCAACTTATATCAAATCATGGACCTCCCGCTTTTGAGCCTTTGCGCCCCAAAACGAATGGTCAGAGCATATCAAAAGCCGTTTGCGCTTGTACTGACGAGCAGATGAGACTCACGCATTGAAGCTGAGAATGTGAGGCCCTTGTGTTGGACCTGGATTTGGATGCCCTGGTCTCAGCATTTGGATGCAGAGTTCGGGAGCGAAGTTGGCAGATGGGTGAGTTTCTATTTGGGGCCTTGCCCAGGTCGCTGCCCCTGTTTTCCGTGCTCACCCCAGTTTCGACGATCCGGTCGTGCCCACAACGCCAGTCGCCTTTTCTTCGGCCAGGCTGGGGTCTACTTTCTGAGGGCCACGTGGGAGCCTTGATCCTTTGCCGGTGTTGGTTGGGGATGGCGGGAGGCAGGAACTCAACATCGATCTCGAACATCTGCATTTGAGGAAACACGGTGAAAGACTGCTGGGACTCCCCACCCTCCGCCAACTTGTCCACCCTCTGCCGAGATTTTGGCTCGGCTCAGAGCCGCTGCAGCTTTCAGGTGACGGTCGCCCTTGGAAGATTTGTTTTCCGTACCAGCAGTCAGCGGCCACCTTTGCAGCTTTCTCCTGCTGAGAGGCGCAGTGGTCGGAGCGGCAGCCGGTCGATTGAGAGAGATTCGGTCAAAGGAAGCCGATCGAACGAGGTGCGACTGGCTCAAATTTTCGTGCTTCAGCCAACTCACCGAGACCAGCGTCGAGTCCTTAGGTCAAGTCGGGTGGGGGCTCACCTGCCTGGATACCTAATCAGAAAAATTCATTCGTACATATTCGTATCAAAAAAGTGTTGATTCCCAAGTAGCTTGCTGACAACTGAGTATACTGCTGGGGTTGTCCCTTAGGAGAAAAGAGGCTGGCCGGCAAACCCTTTGTCTGGGTGTTGTCCTCCTGTGTCCACGCCTGACTGCGGCTGCAAGCCTGTGTCCGGTTGTTGTTCTTTTTGCTGTTGTCCTTGTGTTGTTCTTTTGCCGCCCTCCTATTCTGCTCTGGTGTGAACATGCTACACACAGACATATTATATACTATATATATACAGATGACAGTATGTTTATGAATAGGCTACATCACTTTACACGCTTGAGTCTGGAACAAGAAGAGAACAACTGCCCCAGTGGCATGCAGGACCGCCCTCCCCCAAGCGGTGTCCCATGCAGCCAGAGCGGTAGCAGTGGTGGAGGTGGTGGAAGTGCTGCACTTGCCACGAAAAAGGAACGTGTACCAACCGCCCCACCAGACTGGACGAAACGGCCCGAAGTATCGCCAATGCCCTGCGAACTGCCGGGCAGAGAGCGCCTCCCGGCTCAGTAGATACCAATGTACACTGGCATTGTTTGTGTTGTGTTGATTGTTTTTTGTGGTTTGCCTCACTCTGCCTGTATTTTGGATGCACTTTCTTTACCCCTCTAGTCCCTTTTGGCTTTTTGGCCACAACCTCCCCCTACAGGGGAACTGGTAGGACAAATGTCGGACACATGCTGATTCTGGTAGGATTCAACTGTATTTTTCGATCTGAACATTGGCGTTTGATTGCCCAGTCGCCCCGTGCCGGTCGCTGGATTTGATCGCGCCCGGTCGCGACCTGAGACGCCCAGGTCACAGCACAGGGCGAAGATGGCACCGAGTGCAGGGTCCGCAGGGTCCGTGTTCGGTGGGTTCCGACCTTCGGTGCGTTCGATGGTCTGAGTTTCGACGGGTCTGATTGCGGGGTTGGCAGGTTTACGAGCCAACCACCATGAGCTTACAAGTGCGGGTCCCAGTGATTTTGAGCAAGGATTCATTAATATTATGCTGTTTTTGCTTGGTTTGTGGAGATCAGTGTGTTCGAAGGTTCACTAAGTCACGCAAAGTGCCGCAAACAAAAATACTATATATATATATATGAATGCCAGATAAATAGACAGATAGACGGACAGACAGACAGACGGACAGATAGCCAGATAGATCGATAGATAGATAGACAGATGCATAGTAAGATAAGATAAGATAAGCAAATTAACACCTGAATTCTATCGCCCCCAGGTGGCCTCCTTTGAACATTATGGATATCCGACTTCTGAGCCGATGCTGTGTTGTTTGCCAAAGCACTGCCGAATTGAGGCTTGGAGGGATGCTGAGAACAGTCAGCATTGGTTGGGCTCTTAGTGTCCTCGTAGCGCTCACAGGGAGGCGCAAGTGTCTAAAGAAACAAATGCACCCAGTCTCGAATGGTGTGTTAAGGCCCATGGTGGGAGAAGAGGGATGTCCCAGGGACAGACATGTGACATGGTCATTGAAAAACATGAGGTGCCTTCAACAAATGACAACAGTGATTTTCACTGTTGACTCAAACCTCCAAACACTGCAAGACAGCTGGGGCTCTCGAAGCCAGAGTGGACCGCTGACAAGTTGTATTTGCTAGCTGACAGCCATTCTTGGGCACCAAACATAAGTTCTCAGCTGGAACCAAAAGCACAGGTTACTCACCCAAAGCAATGCCTGGGAGCTATGCCTAGCCAAGACAAGAGTCGTATTCAAGAGTTTCTTTGGAGCAGAGGTGCGCGGCACCCGAGGCATTGGAGCTTGGAAAGCGAAGCTTTCCGATGGACCATTGGGCCTCTCTTCATGAAGGCAGAGAAGCAGTCGTAGTGAGACACTCCGCATTCACCGTCCACCTGCGCTCGCAGGTGGTGGGACAGCTGCCAGCCAGCTTTCCACTCAGCCGAGCTTTTTCAAGCAGTCCGTGCCGTGCACCTGTTTCTGCTTGAGGCCTGGATTATGCCATCAGTCCCCTGCGCGATGCCGGACGCCTGGATTTCCCGTGCCACGCCGCCACGCCCGAACTGCGGCGCGTCGCAGCCGAGGTGCTGTCCGACGGCTCCGCGTCCCGCGGCGCCGCCGCTTCGGCGCAGAGCGCGGCTCCCAGCGAAGAAGCGCCGCAGACCGGGTCTACTGCGAAGTTGGAGGCGATTGGAAGGGATATGTGAGGATACGGATATGTGAGGATGACGCTGACACAAGTGAATGTAGAATAATGTAGAGTAGTATAGAGGGTGTGATTTTGACCCCTTTTTGGCTCCAAAAGCCTACTCTTTCGCCAGGGCCCCGTGGAGTCTGCAAAGCCCCGGGTGGCTGGGCTCAGATCAGCTGAAGAAGCCTGCCAGGTTTCACCTCGCGAGCTGAGGTGCAAGTCAAGGTGGCCATCAAGAACATGAAGCTGGTGCCAGTCTCGGTGGGTGGGCGGGCTGACTGGTGTGCTTCGTCAGCCGCATATGGACTGAATTGAAAAAGGCACGTTGGACCCCGTGGACTCGAGGTACTGTGCCCCACTTCTGGGCACCAGGCAAGTGAGACCAGACGGCAGGTCTCATGGGTTACGCTGAGTGAAGCCAATGGACGGCAGGTCTCACTGACATTGGACGACATCAGTGGCCGCTATGCTGGCTATGAAGGGTGTAGTGAGATGCTGGGCAAGGCAGTGTAGTAAGATGTTTGTTGGAAGCAAACAGCTGGGATCCCATTTCTTTTAGCTAGTTGCAGGTATGCCAAGACAGCTCTTTGATTTGAATGATGCTGATTTGACTGACACAAGCTGGGACTTCGCTTCTGGTCATTTTATCAAGATTGCTTGGGTTGTTCTTTTGGCAGGTGGGAGTGTGCCATTTGTCCAGTGAAGAGTTCGTGCTGATCTCTTTCACTCGTGGAGCTTCCCTGCAGGCTGGAGGGTTGGAGCAGCTAGTGGCAAACAGCTGCACTGTCGGTCCTGAAAGCTGCAAGTGTCCACAAAAACTTTTTTCCGCTGGAAAATGCATGCAGACGAACACCTTTGCAATCTAATATAGCCTTGTTCCGTCCGGGGTGAAATTGCTTTGCAGGTGAAGAATTCTGACCGCCATGTGTTGGTGACCGTCAACAGCACCCTGATTGCTGTGCAGCTCTTTCCTCAGCTCCTGATGTGTTGCGGTGTGTTGCTTGGAACTGGGCAATTCCCCCACCCCCCACGCCCACCATGTGGCGTCACTAGGTGGTACCAGGAACAGATCCGGAAGGCTGGGAAGCTTTCCAGACTCTTTCGGAAGCGCCTAGGCCATCCACCGAGGCCCAAGTAACGGAGTCCAACCAACAGATCATCGGCTTGGTTCGTCGTGGCTTCGATCGGCCGGTTCTCCAGCCGTTCACCTCCACGGCGAAACGGGTCGCTGAGTCCGTGTGTGGTCGCGACGTCCAGGTCGTGACGGCGGTCGATGAGGCAGCGATTCCGCACACTGAAGATTTGATCGGGTTGAAACTGGATTTTCTTCGTCAAATTTCATGCAACTGGTGTTGGAATTTGGATCAATAATTTGGAGGAGGATGACCTCATCTTTGCCCTTTACTTTTTTGGACGTGTGAAATCCATGTGAGTGAAGTGCCCTTCTCTGGAAGTGAAGCCCTTCACACACTGAAATGCTGAAGGACGATAGATCTTTTAGAGTCAAGTTCCGTTCAGTTCGGATAGTTCGCTGCCTTTTGCTTGTCTCGTCGTGAGAATTTTGTGGTCTTCAGGCTTGGGAGGCCCTTGCAGCTGGACACGAACAAGCGCAGGAAGGGAGCCAATCTCATTTGCAGACTCGATGAGAAGAATTGAGGGGATTGTCACGGCTTTTGGATTAACACGGGCCTAGAGGGGGTTTCAGGGACCAAAGACTGTTTCTTAGCATTCAGCATCATGTCAGGGCCTTCTTCCAACTGGTGACAATGCCGGAATTCTCGCGCAGTTTGGGACTGAAGCCAGGGAGAACAGACAAAAGCTTCTGGCCAGAAGTATAGATATGACGACAAGGTCATTTAGCCAAAATTGTTGTGAGGTTGTGGAGCAGATACATCATCACCCCTATCCAGGCGGCTGAGACTGTTGGTTCATCACCCTCACTCGACGACTCGAACACTTCAGGCTCGTGTCAAGGAGAGAGCTGCCCAACGCCTTGCGGAACTGGTTCCCGGCGTCGAAGGTGCGGTGCCCCCATGGCGAAATGCACCCCCAAGCCAAGCCATGAAAGGTACGGTAAGTAACAAATAACAAATCCAGACCCGTCCGGTTGTTTCTCTCTTTTTTTCCGTTTCTAAGTGAAGAACACTTACTGCAAGAACACACACCAGGGACCAGCGAGCCCAAGACTTTGCGCAGAGATCTCATTTTGCTGGACACTGCAATTGGAGGTGTTGTGAGGGGGCTTGTGTTCTCGTACCCTAAGGACGCAGCTCAGAAGAGGCAGTGGCAGAATAGCAGAGTTGACTCCAGCCCACTGGATTTTCCAACGCTTTGGCTTTGGAATTGCTTCCTTGCTTGGCAGTCGCTGATTGAAGAAATTGAGGAGGTCTGGACACTGCAGGGTGATGGAATTTCACCTTCCTTTCGGGGTCACCCATTTTCCGCCCAAAAACACTATGGATCTCCAGCCAGGGCACCCCGACAGGTTTGGGTCCTGATTGAATTGACACCGCACAATTCGTGTTTTCTGCGGTTCGCATGGCCCCTGCCCACTGTCGACCTCCGCCGTTCCGCAGGAGAATCCCCAGCCAAGAGGCCAGTGCTCTGTGGAGGCGCGACGGGACGGCGGTCCAGTTGTCCGAACACCTGTTAGAACGAAGAACCATTCCATTCGGATCTATTTGTTGGTGTTGTATTTCCCTTGTAGAACGCTTTCTGTCTATATCTGTGAGATCCTGGAGATCGGACCATGCTTGGGACTGCATGCGCAGAAATGCTTTGACCTTTGCGACAATGGCACTTCTCGAAGAAGGTGTCGAATGCCCCTGTCTTCTTGATCACGGTGACCTTCTCAATTTGTTGCAGGCATTTGCAAACAATGTCATAACCATCCTTCTCACGAAGCTTGGCAATGTCCTCAATCAAGCTCTGACAACAACGCCATGCTTCGCCATGCAATGCATCCAACAATCTCTTCACAAACCTCTGTTGCTTTTTTGCGAGGTCTCTGGCCTTGCCCTGAGCATTTCACATCTCCTTCCAGGTTGGCATATGCCATGCGAAAAGAACTCGTCGCCTGTACTCCTTCATCAACCCTGGATCTGCGCCGGTGCAATGCGGCACTCTGCCCTTGTCCACGACCACCACATCATCGTGATACAGACCTTTATCCAAGGTCATGGCGTGTCACCATGGCCACTGCAGCTGGAGCCAGTGTGTTGCCAGCCCCGCTACCAGTGCGAAAGCGCGCGCGCAGCTGGTCGCGAGCACCGTTGTAAAGCCTTCTTCTGAACGAAAAAGTCAAATGCGCGTGAAACATGACATGTCCCCTATGGCTTGCTTCTTGATTTTGTGATCCTTTGCTGGTGCCATGCTCGTCGTCTCTGTTTCTCCGAATTGGTGTTGGCCAGAGAGTTGTGCTCTCTAGCCAAATGCAATGAAGCTTGTACCTTTTCGCGGTTCAGACCGGCTTGAATTGCAATTACCAAGAGCAGCAACGGAGTCGAATCAACTCGAAGTACAACGAACTATGGCAACTGTATGCAAATGTAACAAGCCAAGGGATCCTCTCAATCTGATATTATGTGAAGCACTTCGCACTGTGGCTTCAGACAGCTGAACAAGGAAGCTGCGCCTATTGAGGTGAACTTGTTTTACGAGGGCTTGACCGCCGCGAGGGCCACAGTCTGCTTGACCGCAAAGGTTGAACGTTTACGGTTCAGATATGTTTAGATGGTGTAGGTCCTTTTGGGTCCTCAGTTGACCGCGTGTGCTTTCTGGTCTGAGGTGTTCCCTGACAGTGCTGCAAGCACTGCTCACCGCATTTTGCAGGTGAACGGGCTCTTCCCTTTTTGCCGCATTTGCTTCGAAAAAGGGGGGTTTGCACTCGTGGCCAGGTGGGTGTCAGTGGTGCTGAATGCGGATTTCGTGCCTTCCAGTCGGGTGATGCAGCTGCGGCCGTCCTGGCCCTGAGTGATGGATGTCTGGTAGTGAAGATGCCCAGAGTTTCAATCATCCAGGTCTCGCTGATGGCTGTCAATCTTGAACTGGTCCAAGACTTGGTTGAGATGCTTTTGAAATAGGGATAGGCAGAAGCCAGAGGCACTAAAGTCGCAAAACACTGACGATCTCTTATTCCCAAACATTGTTCAGTACAGGATGGGCGCACCCTCCTGATGCCGCGCCGCGGTGAGAAACTTCTGAAGGTGCGACACTGCGTGACGGGAAAACGCAAAGGATCAAGGAGGACACTGTACTTCTCAATCAAGTTGCGCTCCCGAAAGCAGACAAAGTACTTGGGCTGTAGCTGTATAAGGAGACAAGAGACCCCAGCAAATTCTCAATTAGAGGTGGATATTCTTCGAAGAGCACACCTTCGGCCTGCATTGGTCTGGAGCGCATCGTGGGTTCTGCTCTTAGCAAGGATTCACTTCACCGGTCAAGTGAACCAGCTGCTGATTCTTAAGAAGCGCTCGATATATACCTTGAGTCTCCAATGACCCTTTTAAATTTGCCTTTCCAAGAAAAAGAGGTTTTTGAAAGAAAGCACTCTTTTTTGCATATGTCATGAAATGTTCCTTTTTTGTTTGTGCCCTGTCAGATCCTCCTTAGACAGTGTCCTGAGACCTTTTTTCGGCGTCCAAAACGCGTCTTTTTGCGTCCAAAAGGCGTCTTTAAGCGTCCGTGCCGGACACGTCCGGATGAAGATTCACTCTGCACCTTTTTTTGAGTCCTCATCTCTAAAAACGCGTTTTTCGAGCAAAAACGCAAAAATAGTAGACCAAAAACAAAAACGCAGAAAAAAAAAGGTCTTTGGAGACTCAAGGTATATATATATATATATGTGTGTGTGTGTGAGTCATTGGGGCGAGACCAACTAGATGGAGTGAACAGGTAACCTTGGGAGAACGTTATCATCGCAAATGTGCCTTGCTTCCTTGTAGCTGTTCACAGCCTTATAGGCTCAAGCATGTCTTTGACAGGCGAGATGCACAACCTCCACATGTGTATGCCACCTGTGTCACGGTGTCAAGTGTAAATAGTCCAGGCTTCTAATACAGGCAGGTGCTTCTGCAGACATTTTGTATGCCTACACCCGGTCGTGCTAGAAACTTACTGCTACACCACAAAAGCATACACACAGGTGTTGATAGTATACAAAAATAACTATATATAGATAGACATATTTATACATGTTTGTGTACATGTAGATGTTGATATGCTGAATGTATGTACATGAACATTCACACACCTACTATATAGCACAAACCTTGAAGAGAATGCAAGCAGTGCCATGCCGCCGGTAAGCTTGCGCAAAGAGCTGCGTACATTTGTCGGGCAGGTTTTGCGTGAGGGAGGGGAGGATCCTTCCCTGGCAATAGGTGGACGAAAGGGAAAGGGAAAGGGAAAGGGAAAAGGCAAGGGAAAGGGCAAGAGCAAGGGCAAGGACAAGGGCAAGCGAGGGATCAAGGGGAAGGACAAGGGAAAAGGCGGAAAAGGCAAGGGCAGCAAGGGAGGGGATGGCAGCCAGATCCAACGAGTGAGGGATGGCTCATCAAGAGCTCCGAGACGAGTGCTCCGCAAGCAGAAACGTGATGAGAAGAAGGCCAGACGCGAGCATTTCTTTGGACATGGCAAGAATGAGGAGAATGAGCACGGCCAAGCGAAGGCTGCTGGCAAGGCTAGAGCCTCTCCAAAGAGTACGCTTACAAAGAAGAGAAAGCGTAGAGATGACGATGAAGAAATCACATCTGAGGAAGAGGGTGATAAAAAGGGCAAAGATCCCAAGGAAGAGGATGAGGATGAGGAAGCTGCAGAAGGCTCTAATGAAAGCTTGGAAGATGCTGAGTCGGAGGAACCCAAAGCCAGCGATGCGGAAGATGAGGGTGAAGCCAATTTGCAGAGTAACTCTCAGTCCTACCTGCCACCTCATTTGCGAGGACGAGGCGGCGATAATGTTCAATCTTTTCAGCGAACCCTGCGTGGCACTTTGAACCGGGTTTCTGAAGGAAACCTTGATCCTAGTTGCCAAGAAATCGTCAAGGTTTTGAGCCAGATGATTCCAGAAACGGGTACTGCCAAAGCAGCAGATGCCTTTACCAGTGCGCTCCTGTCAGCAGCCGTCGAAGATCCGAATATTTCCGTACTAGTCTTGGGCTGCTTTGCCGCTTTGGTTGGGGCATGCCATGTGACCTTTGGCTCCTCATTTGGCGCGGCGGCTTTATTGAAGTGTCTTGACATTTTGCAAATTCGGATGGGGATGTCTGCAGATCATGACCCCGACGAAGCCACCAACACAGATGCAAGAATTGCCAAGAACTGCATCATCTTCACCATGCTATTATTCAGTTTTGGGATTCTGCCTGGAAGCGTGGTTTTTGATGTGGTGCGATATGTGCTGAAGCGGCCGATCACGGAAGTCTCGGTGGAGCTCTCTCTGACCTTGTTGCGCTATGCGGGGCGGCAGCTGCGCTCCGACTGCCCGGAGGACTTCCGCGAGGTGCTGCGCTTCGTCACCTCCGAGGCGGAGGCGTCGAGGTCCGCGGAGGTGGAGGCGGCGTCGAGGTCGGGGATGCAAAGCCGGCTGGATTACTTGCTGAAGGAGCTCAATGACTTAAAGAACAACAAGGCATGGACCGGGAGGGATGATGGCCGGCAGTGCGCTGCCCTCAAGGGTTCTAAGATGTTGAAGGTGTTCTAGAATTTTTGTAAAACAGACACATTTCACTTGTGCAGAGCCTTTCTTCAGGTGTCCTTCGCAGTGATGGACCGCTTCAATCAAACTCGTGGCTGGCTCCAGTCAGCACCCTTGCTGAAGGGTCGCAAGGTCTCGGAGCACATCCTGGCGGTGCCCTTCCGCGTGCTTCACGATGAGGTGCCCAGCAACTGGCCGCTGGGAGTGCAGGCGGGAGAATCCGCAGTACTGGCAAGGTCCAAGAGCTCTGGGTCAAATCCGCTACGAGAGGCTGGGGGATGGGCCGGGATGGGGTGAGTCTTGAGTCTTGAAACCTCTTTTTCTTCTTTGTGGAACGGGTGCGGAACCCCTAATTATCCTGGAAACCAGGCAGGGGAGATGAATGTATATATATATATACGGATCTCGCATTCTGACTGACCGATTCTTTTTTGCGAGTTCTGGGTGAGGGCCTTAGAAGTCATCCTATTGGACGAACCCCATGATTCTCCAACAAAACAACTCAATGGCCCGATCCAGGTCTCAAATGAACTTCAGAATAGGGGGACCCCCGGCAACGGGGAGCCCAAAGCCACTGGTGAGGGAAAGGTGGCAAGACAATCTACGTGAACTTATTGTAAACCTTCTCCTGCCAGTCTTTTTTTTGTTTCCGATGTAACATGGCTGGTGATCTAAACCCCACACCTCTGCAGTTCCAACAGCATCTCTATGTTCTTGTGTGTTCTTGTCCCACCCCCGAGTCGCAGCGCCTGCAGGCGGCCATTGCTCAGCGCCTCACCTCCGAGTTGCGCCAGAATCTCTTCGTTGCGCTGATGGGTGCAGAGGATTTCGAGGATGCGGTGGAGCGGGTGATTTTGGCGGCAGGAGCTGCAAAGAATGGACATTCAGAAGCCTGTGTTGTGCTGTTCCACTGTGCGATACGTGAGAAGAAGCCGCCACTTGGTGGGATTCTGCCTCTTTTGTTGGCTTTGCCATCCGGTGTTCCTTGTGACAAGTGTGCAAAAATGGTATGACACTGCAAGGAATGCTTTCTATGCCCACGTTGCACAGAGCCTGTGCAATCGACCAGCTCCGGTGGGGAAGCGTTTCTCTCACAGCATGAAGAGAGCGGCAGTGCAACACATTCAGACGCCAAGCTTGAGTATACAGCTGTTTAACCTCTAGTTTGTAGAACATCATGAATACTGTAACCAGCTGACAGTTTTTAAATTCAAGCTTGTTGTTTGACACTTGGAAGTTTTGTGGAAGCGAGGCAGGCACACACCTACGGGGTTCGGGCTGCTGTTTGTTTGGCGGAACTTTGTGCTGCATTGATGAGTTCCTCTGTCGGACTGCCATTGGCCGTTGTGCGTTTCACCCGTTTTGGTGGTGATGAAGAGGGCGATGGGCAAGGCATGCGAGGCGTGTTGGGCCTTTTTCTCCGACACCTGACCGAATCCCTACTGCAGCGCGCAGTGGATTCGCAGATCGCCCCGCTCTTCAGCCCGCTTCGAAAGTACAACGACGTCCGTGAGGGCATGCTGCTGGTGCTTGATGGCCAGGTGCGACCGAGACTGCCTTCGCACAACACCAATCCTTCAATATGGGAAAACTTCAGGCTGGCAAGGAAGGAACTTGCGACACCGGGTTCTTCAAACGATTAGGGCAGCTGGAAAATGCAGCTGGTGCCAACCTGCATGGCTAGGGGGAAGTTGCTGGAGAAGCAGTCGTGTTGTCAGTTTGACCCTCGCGTGATGGATGAGATGGATGAGAGGGTAGTCACCCGGTAGCGAGTCACTTTCTATACCACTTGGGTTGGTGCATGTTGAGGTCTTGCGTAAAATCTTTGCCAATCTTTGCTCTCCAAGGCCCAGATTTGCATCCTCTTCAGGCAGCCTGTGAACCAGCTTGGATCAAGATTCGGAGTGAACCATATATAACGTAAATAACTGTTCGACCGTGCTGATGCAGTTTGCTCAGGGGTAGCATGTACCCATGCACATGCATCGCTGTCCATTTCATTCGAGGAGAGTTTTCCAAAGTTTGCCGGTGCAGTGTCCCTGCTTGACTCTTTTCCTGGGATCCTCCCGTCGATCCGACGCAGGCAACGTGATTACGACCAACTGACAGCCTTCGTCAGCACGGCCATCACGGAAGCCATGTCGCCGCTTGGCAGCTCAAAGGCACCGAAGCCAAGCTGTTGAACACTCCCTTCAGCTCAGGTCGCGAAGAGGTTGGCCGGAAGCCGCGAGCTTAGGGGTTACTTTGACGGGGAGTACTGCAGCAACAGTACCCATTTGATGGAGCCATGATGGCATTTGGTTTGTGTTTGGAGCCTTTTCATGTTTTCTGCGGTCTTGAATTGATTGATCAAAGCTTCTCAGAACTGGGTCTTCTGCGGTCTTGGCATCTGAGGCCCAGCAGGCCGACGCGGAGGCTTGCTGGCTTGGTCGGCACTGGTTTCTGAATGAGATTCGTTGGACAGGTGAAAGGGCTTTGGTTCACGACAGATAGATAGATAATGATAGATAGGTAGATAGATAGATAGTAGCTCTCTGACATCCAGAAGTAGCCTAAGAGCTCCAGATTCCAGATTGGATTGGAGAGAACTGGGCTTTGAGCTTTCCAGCTGAACCCATTGAAGGCAGAGACGCAACGTGCGGAAAGCAAAGCCGGGGAGCCTGACGTTCGCTGGTGAGCAGCTGAAGCACACGATTGACAAAGCATACCATTGACCTTCGCTACAGTGACCGGGGCTGCAGGGGTTCATGTTAAATGATCAAACAATGTAGGACGTGAATCCTTTTTCCTTTGCGCTTAGGGAAAAACCAAGCGCATCCAGAAGGGTACGTGAGTCACGCCACCTGGTTTCCTGACCAGTGGACTTCGTCAATTGCCTGAACCAGGATCAACCACAGCATGGAGTTGATGGCTCAGCTGGCGATCAGCAGTCGACGGGATTGAAGAAAGAGGAAAGCATGTTGCCGGCGTAGCTTTTCTTAACTGCATTTCGGAGAATGGTGCCTAGATAAAATTTCACAGATCACACATGCCTGTCGCACAAAAAAGGCGGCCCACATGGCCCACTGCCACAGATCACCCGACAGACTGCAGAAAATCCACCTTCTTAAGGCAGCTGTGTGCCGCCTTTTTCTGCAGATTGGCATGGATTTCACCTCGAATGTCCATGCCGTCGATGCACTGCCTCCCCATGTGTCCTCCTCCAGCGCTGGACGCCACGGCGGCCACGGCCACGAGCGCTGAGGCCAGGTTCCGTCTGGAGGTTGGAGCGCCCCTGGTGTTCTTGCCAGTCACCCAGATGGGCAATGAGTATACAGCTGTGAAATGCTATGAAAGGACCAAAGCATCAATTACACTCGATGACTGTTCACGATTTTCTGCGCTCATCCAAGACTTTCTTGCAGCCGCTCTCGGATTTTTGGCGCTGTAGACAGGAATGGAACAGCAGTTGGGACCAGGATTGTGATAACATATGCAAGTTGCAAGTGTTCAGCATCCTTAGCATATCAGTCAGGTATGCTCAGGGAAAAGAGTTGTGGACTGTCTCATTGTCGTTTGTAAATCCTGAATTCAGGTTAGATCATGTGTTAGACAACCCACATCTTTGGGACGGGTCGCATACTTTGTGACCACATGGCCGAACTGGATTTCGTCGCTGTGCGATGCATCGGGGGTGAGCTGGCTCAAGCCTCGCGACCGCTTGCAACGTCGCGGTGCCGGGGGTGTCTGGTTCGCCGTACGACGGAGCCCAAGCGCTCAGCGTTCTTGAAGTTGGCCAGCTTTGCTCCCTTGCTCTTGGGCCGTCGCTCGAAGAGGTGAGGGAAATGAGAGAGCGAGAGAGGATGGGCCCCTTCAAGCCACCTGAGTTCTCCTTGCTGTGGCAAAAATGTACATGTATTACAATCTGCAGTTGGGATTATGCATTGCGTTTGGTCCTGTAAGATGGATTCTGTTTGACAGGGGGGCCCAGTGCCCGCCCCTCCCTGGATCAAATCTTTTCATAGTGTGCCCCACTCGAACTTGAAATTCGAGCTCAAATTTGAACTCGAACTGGAACGGTTAGAGCTCAACCAGAAGCCTCGAACTCGAATTCGAACTCGAGCTGGAACTGTTAGAACTCAACCCTGGAAGGCCTCGAACTCGAATTCGGACTCGAACTCCAATTCGAGCTGAAACAGTTGGAACTCAACAGTTGGAACTCAACCCTGGAACTATAGTACTTGAAGGTTCCCGTGTAAAGTGCACCTCATATGTATAGGCACAGTTCATGAACATTGTACTTTTGGCTCAAGTGATGAAAAGGTCCGCAGCCGCTGCCACTTCGCGGTCACGACGGATCTTAACTTTGACTTGTTGCTTGGTGTTGTTTGTGTTGGTGTTCCGTTTTTTCAACGGTTCAAGTGGTTATCAGCCGTATCGGCTTTTGATTGTTTTTCGGTTTCTGTTACAACACTACAACATCATTCATTAGTGTGGTTGCGGGGTCCACAGAAAACCCGTGCATGTCAAGTCGGCGTCCTCGAGAGCCTTCCCGTTCACCACCGCGTCGACCGTGGCGGCCTCCTGAGCCGCCAGGGCCGCCACCAAGGAGGCCACCAACGCCTCCGGACCCTCCGAGGCGTGGCATTCAGGGAGGAGCTGCCGCACGGCGAAGCAGGGAAGCGTACATTGTCAATTCGGGAGGCGATCGAGCGACGATCCCGATTGTTCACGCTGGCGGTCAGAGAAGGCCACTTGGAGCTCCTAGGTTTTGGGAGCCGAGTGCAAGCGAGGATTCGGGTGAGGAGACTGACGAAGTTGAGATTGTTGCATTTACAGCGGCAGTTGATTTGACTTCGTTGCAGGCTGAGCATCTTGTGCCGCGTTCAAGGCTCTACAATCCGTACGTCTTCGATCATTCGCCTGGCTCGTCAAGTTTGGCTGCGGCCCCAAGGCCTGTTCCGAGTCGAGCGGATTCGAGTGTTGTTGACACGCCTGCCGGAAATCGGCCTTACGACATCCTCAAGTACTACCACCCGGCGCCTGGAGTCGTTCTTCACCCGTGGTCGCGAGTTGACATCGTTTACAGAGAGGCCTTGACTTTTCCGTCTTCAGCCAAGTTTTACGTGTGGGCGAACCGTGATTCGTTGAGGCTGGCTGCAGAAAGGCCGAATCACTGGGGCTCTGATCCGGTGATTGCATTGGACTACCATCAGGTCCTTGACGTTGATCGGAGTGTCAATCCTCCGGATCGTGTGGATCATATTGGTAATCTGCCTGCGGGCCACATTGCAGCAGTTCGTCGCTTGCGAAGGGAGATTGAAGAGGTCGGCTTGCGTTGTCGAGTGAAGATCATTGTTTTGTCGCGCATTCACGACAGTGTGGTGAACCAGAGGAACTTGATCACTGCAGTACAACAGAGTTCATTGTCGGTTGATTGTGTGATCATCACTCGTGAGAGAACGGGCCCAGGTGGAAAGTTTGAGGTGCTGAGATCGTTGACTCGTGGTCAGGCTGTGATTTTAGACGACAACGTTGAGGTGCTGCGTGAGTTCAGTGCAGCGAGCCTCATCGCTATTCAGATTCGCAAGCCTCGGGTCGGAGCGATTTTTGACGAAGAGCAAAGGTCTTGGAGCTTTTCAGCACCTTGGTTGGTGGATCGTTTGGTGACTTTCGTGCATCACCATTCGAATCCTGTTGACGAGGAAGAGTGAAGTTGCATCGAAGCTGCTCCGGTCCGGCTGCTTTGAGCGCCGCGGAGCCTCGTTCGCTAGGCCAGTTCCCGAAAAGAGCCTGTGCCAATTGTGCATTCGTTCCCGCCGAAAAGAAAGAAGGGATTGGGAGAGTTTGAATAGTTGGCCAGTGAACCATGTCAGAAGAGCAATCTTCATCGTTGAATGTCAGTTCAGATACTACTGTTGGTGGTTTGGCAGTTGCAGTTCGGAGCAGGTCCCAATCCTCCCATGGTTCCGGAACACCCCAAGAGGGAAGGAGATCAAAACCTCCAAAGAGATCTTTGAGCAGAGTCATCAAAAACATGCCCAAAGGTACTCAGTCCCAGGTTCAAGCAGAGGGGTCATCAGTGGTTGAACCATCCATTCCTGCGCTCACTGACCTTCGGTCTTTGCCTTCGTCCAGTGGGTTGCTCCAGCGGTCAGTTGGTCCATCCGAGTTCCAGGGTACCGGAGAGGAAGATGAAGTCATGCCTAATCAAACTAGCTTGACACAAGAATTGCACCTTCATGACGCCCGGTCTTTTAACACGGTCCAGGTGGCATATGTTGGTATCGATCATGCAGAGTTCGGTCGTGTTGTAGCTGAGTCTCAACGACTGATCGGGGAAGCGGACTCTAGGGCTTCGCACTTCGAAGGTGTCGCTCAACAAGTCTTCCAGGAAGCCACAGCTCACATCGGTTACCTGACATCCCTGGTCGAAGAACTCCGTAGTCAGAACGAAATGCTCCAAACAGGTCACACCGAGAAAGATGTCATGATCACCAGCTTGCATGAAGCGGTCCAAGAGGTAAAGCAAACCCTTGAGAACCAGATCAAATTCAACCAGTCCATGTTTGAGGGTCAACTTCGCAAAGCGAAGGACGAGATCGACCGTTTGTCCGACCTCAACCAAAAGTCCCTCAACCTTTTAGGCCATAAAGATTCAGAAATCCAGCGTCTTTGCCAAGAGTCTTCGTCTCGACAAGATCGCATCTCGTCGCTGGAGGTCCGACTGGCTGCTTCAAGCGCCGCGGTCATCCAGTCGCCTGCACCTGCTTTCGTTCCGAAGCCTGTGCCTGATGCATCGTCGCCCAAGGACACCGAAGGAGGCACTAGAATGTTGGAGTCAATCATGGAAGCTGTTCAGTCACTCAGTTCCAGAATGTTGACACTTGAATCAAGCCGAAATAGCACGGATCTAAATCGCGAGACTCGACCTTTGTTCGATCGTTCGCGTGACACAGTTGTCCATTCATCCTCGCTTCCTGTAGGACCTTCTCGTGGACTTCGTGTTGGCAAAGGCTTCCCGGAGGTCCGCCCGATCCAATCGATCAGGGGGGTGAAGGGTCGGACGACGATGAAGAGGAGTTGATTTCAGAATCGCCCTCACATGCCTCAGAAAGGGAGATTGTTGATTCTAGAGCTTTGTTGCGCACCAAACTGGAAGTGGTCCCTCAGAGTGCTGCAGACTTTAGAGCTTGGAAGACAAACTTCTTTCTGATGCTTGGCCGCTTGGACATCTCGTCGAATGAATACCTTTCCAAGTGGGCTGCAACGGCTTTCGAGGTAGGTCAGGAGAAAGAATGCCAGAGTTCATCAGGCCTGATCCCAAGGTTTGATAGGTGGCTTGCATCTGAGCTTCTCAAGAATGTGCGGTCAAGCCCTGAGTTGTTGTTCAAAGTTCAGGGGTATGTTGAGCGTTGCATTCGTCAGTCCACAGTCCCTCGGGGTAGGATGATCTTGTACATGATTGCTCGACATTTCGATCTCGATCGTACTCGTGGTTCATTGCTCACATCGCAAAGCATCTTCCAGGTGGAACTCAATGGTTTTTCGTTGAAAGATCTCCAGGAGTTTAGCGGTACAGTCATGAAGACCTTGAACTCCATTGACCCTGCCGACTGGCCGAATCAGAGAATGTTAGGTGAATGGTTGTTCCATCGGTTGAGAAATGTTCGAAAGCTTGAAAGGACCATCGACGAGATCAAACGCTCCGCATATAGCTCGGAACTTCGTGATTTCGACTTCCTTTGGGGAAGATTGCAGGAGCACCTCGTTGAGGAAAGGGAAGACACCAATGCTAGGTCCATAGAGCTTTCGTTGAAGCCAAAGTCGTGGAGGAAAGATCCAAAGGAGAAGTCGAATCCTCTTGCAAACCCTGCCAAGGCTGCCGCGGTTCCGCCGCCACCTCCTAAGGAGACACCGGCGGCTCCAGCTGATCCTTCGTCGCCCAAGAATGACCCTAAGGGTAAAAGTGGCAAAGGTGATAAAAGCAAAGGTGAGAAGGGAAAAGGTAAAGGCAAGGGTTTGAGCAAGGAAGACAAGGCGAAAACGCCTTGCGTGTTCTTCCAAATGCCTTCCGGTTGTGTGCGCGGCAATTCATGCGCGTACTTGCACGAGAAGGTCAAGCCTGATGCCAAAGCCGAAGCAACGGCTAAGCCGAAGGCCCAGCCGAAGCCGAAAGCCAAGGCAATGGCTGCTGTTGCCATTGTTGCTGCCCTCTCATCGATGGCCATGCCAGTTGAAGGTCGTTTGGAGTTTGCTGCAGAT